ATTTTCAGGAGCCTGTGGTCAGTCCGAGTGTTCATGGTCCTGTTAAGGAGTTTGGTTTTCAACAAAAAGGTAAAAGTGACTAACTAAAAAAAACAAAAAAAATCTGTTGGGTAATGGATAGGGATGTAACGATATCCAAGTTTCACGATACGATATCGTCACGGTATGAACCTTACAGTACGATATTTATTGCAATATTGTGGGAAAGCTCACGAAATTTTGAGGAGACTCACGATTAGGGATGTAACAATATCCAAATCTCACGGTACGATATTTATTGCGATATTTTGTGGAGGTTAACAAAACTGTCAATATGCTTCCTTTTCCTTTTAAAATGCCTTCACAAGACTTAATCCAAAAAACTAAGACTTAAAAGTGCTAAGAACTGTTATTTCTTCTTGTAGTTTACACTGAAATGGAGCAAAGGATCATGGTCTATGTAGTTCCCTCTGTCTTTGCTGTTATTGTTGCACCATGACTATTCATTTAAGCAAAGACACTTGTAATTCGACATATTTGTGATGGTCCACTATGTTATTGCGAGAACTCTGACGATACGATATCACGATATTTCGTTTTTTCTTAAATCCCTCGTAATGAATTTGTTTAACAGCACAAATCAGCTCATTTGTTGTAGTTCCAAATAAGTCAGTTCTTAATGCAAAAATACAACTACGGGTAAGACTGTAAGTGTTAAAAAAACAAACAAAAAAAAAAAATAATTGAATGAATGAAAGATGGAGAAGTTAAACGCCACATTGTGAAACCTTTCAGACAAAGTAATGCCAACTCCACGGAGACAAGCGAACCGTCTACCCTAGAAATTACACAACGCAGTTTTAAGAATAGTTTTTGTGGTATAAATCTGGTCTTGGGGCGTTGTGTCAGTGGCATAAATTAGTTCCAGTATTATCGTTTATCTTTTATATTTACTTGAGCCGTGTGTTACCGTGACAGGCCGACACACAGCAGAGGGGAACACATCAGCAGTGGCCTCGGCTCAGACCCTAAACTGAAACCAGATGAGCCTCGTGCGCACCGCAGAACGCTCTGGGGGAACTCTGCACCGCTTCAAATTATCACCATTCAATAGGCAAATACGGGATAATATTGTGGCAGCACCGCACAGGCAGCCAGCGGCGGTTTTCAGAGTCTAGAACACGGGGTCTCCGAACGTTTATCCTCCTGTGAGCTGCTTCACAAAAAGAAAACGCTAGAGAGCTACTGGAGTAATAATGGTGGCAAGAAATTGAGTGAAATAGAGAGGGGACATTTAGATAAAACATAAATAATCCGAGTATCATTTGTCTATTTGTTTTTCAAAATAAAACCAAAAATAAGAAAACGAAAAAACTACGATTTTCTTCATTATTTGTCTCCAAAACCAAAATGAAAAAACAGATAATGATTCGTTTTTTCAGTTTTCGATTTTGTGTTTAAATGAAAAAAAAAAAAACAAAAAAACAAAAAAACAGGTAACGGCCGTTTCCCATTTCCGTGACTTAAACTGCGATGCTGGACTTTTGCGCCGCATACGGACTGAACCAGGACTAAACCAAGATTAAACCAGGTCTGGGAAAAGAGCAGGACTGAGACCAGGATTGAGACCTTGTTTGTATTTTTATGACTTGTTGTATCCTTGTGTGTCTCACCTCAAGGGGCTTTTTCCGCACTATAGGGCGCTCTGGATTAGGGATGGGCATGATTAGTTGATTAATTGATAATTGATCATTCAGAATTTCATCGATTACGTTCATTTTAATCGACAAACCAAATGCAGGTTGCTGTGTGTAGTGTGACCAAACGGGGGTCCGTACATGTGTCTCTCTGCACTCAGAAGGAGCGAGACACAAACAGTCGGTCAGTCTGCAACACGCCGAAGCACAAATGTGTATGACTTGTACAAGAAATTCCACGCTTTCCATTCCGGTCGGGACAAGTGTGAGTCCATGTGCACAGTGAACAAAGCAGCACATATGTTTCGGTGTCCAGTGGGAAAAAGCTCACCAAGACACCGAAAACATGAAAAAGCTTTGCCAGGTGAGAGTCGCTCAATGTCGATGACGAGTCCCCACCTCCGACCCCCCGTACGGTGTCCTGGTTTTGACAAAAGCAAATATGGTCACACTAACCTGTATTCACCTGAGTCGTGCCACATCAGCGACACAAGAGCTGTTTTTTTTTTCTTCGCTTAGTTTATGCAAATTAGTGATGCGGTTTTAAGTTTCGTTTCTGTGAGAGTTGTGCAAAGCTGCATTAAACACATTATAATCTCAAAACAGGCTGATGTGGCTCTAGAGTGGTCACAGTTTATATATGTCGTAAAGTTGAATTAATTTATGCAGATTAGTAGTGCAGATAGTAATAATAATGATGATAATTTTAATATAAAAACGTTAATGAATATTCGATAATCGACCGTTAATTCTCTCGACGATCGATTAAGAAAATTTAATCGAATGCCCATCCCTAGTCTGGATTATAAGAGCGCACTGTCATTAAATGGTCTATTTTCAAACTTTTTTCACAAATAAACCGCACCGGACTTTAAAGGAAACACAACAGTGTGATGGGTGAGTGGTTTTGTTTGTTTGTTCGTTCACGGTGACTCTGGGCTTTGTTCAGTTGTGGCGTGTAGGGAGGTGCTGTCTGGGACCAACGGATTGTCGGCGTGTTCGCAGTGACTCAGTTGTTCAGTCGTGTCTAGAAGCGGCACATTGCACTCGCTTTTTCGGTTCGTTCCTCCGTTCCGTTCCTCGTCGGCGTGGAGTGATGAGTGTGTCTGTGGGTGTTTGTCGCTGTGCGGTCGCTGTCTGCTCCGTGTGTGTTTGTGTGTTCTGCGGGTGGTGCGGCTTTGTAGTTTACTGAAGTCGTGTTGGGACACCCGAGTGGATTCGTGTATGGGGCGCTCTGGATTGTGGGACGCGCAGTCGTTTTTTGATGGGGTTGGAGGCTTTTAAATGCGCCCTATAGTGCAGAAAATACAGTAAGTAGTCTCAAAATAGTAGCACCTTCTTATCGGGATCTGTCTATGAGATAATAGAATCAACAACATAAGCAGCCACCAGAGGGAGCCCTAGCAACAAAACTTGTAGTATTCACTTTAAAAGCTGCACTATGCAACTTTTCTGGTGGAACCTCTGCAACCTACATGATGTTGTAGATGATGAGATGTTCTTTCCAATTTAACGCTCCACAATATGATATCAAAATCTCCATGGAGTCAAGCGAGAGAGGCCACCAGTCCAATTTAGAGACCCCATAGTTGATTTTTCTCTCATGTACAGCATTTTGTCCAAACTTTATTCATCAAGGGCCACAAATCTAAACACAGATGAAGCAGAGGGCCGATCGAGGGCCGTAGACTGGTGCTCAGTACAGAGAATAATTAAAATATGTGCAGGTTTAACACGTTAGAATGAGCCGCCAGTCTTCATTCATGCTTAGATCCTTAAAACCACAAACTAGATATTTAATATTCGCTTTATCAAGGTAGATTTTCAAAAAACTTGAGGTAAAAAGTACATTTTTAATTGATGGAAGGTAATTTGGGCCAATTCACCTGGAAGCCTGAGGGCCAAGAAAAATTTGTTTGGGGGGCAGCATTTGGCCCACGGACCATAGTTTGGAAATGCCTGATTTCAGATAAGCAAATGGTCCAAACTTACGCAAAATTGACTCTTGTGGTTGTGTTTTGTTTTGGTTTAGTAACCCTTTATTATTAATCTGTCTACAAAACTCAAAATACTCTGTTCCACCTTCTGATGTCATTAAGTTTTATAGTCAACAGCTAAATTTGACCTTTTCATTTAGTAGCGTTTGGAAATTCCAGGTCTGAAATGATCCAAACGATTCTAGTGAAGGTGTTTGAAATGTAAAAACACACTGGAGCACTTCCTGTATTACAACATCACAAGTTGGAACAGAGAGTTTTCTATTTTAGAGAAGAACTCCTAAGCCTAAATATGCAGGATTTATGAGTCAAACACGCGGGAACGAAACAAAACACAACTCCACGTCTGTTTGAAATAAGACAACAACATTTCGACGCAGTAAAGTAGCGTAATATGAGCACTTTAAAACACATTTTCTAAACTGTTGCACAAATATTAAACAGCTTCTCCGTAATCAGAGGCACGTGAACGGTTAAACAAAACCGCGTCTTTCAGCTGGATCAAATAACTCATCTCCCAAATAAATTGCCCAGTTTCCTTCCATGGCACAGCTCGCAGCTCACAGCCAGCTTCAGTCGGATTGAGCTTCAGAGTTTTTGGAGAACCACGGAGCGCATGTGGTCAGTAGCAGCGGGCCCGGCCTCCCTCTCATGTTACAGTCCCGTATATATCCCCCCCACTCCCTCCCTCCCCGGTCTCCTCCTCTCCTCTCCCCTCCCGCCCTCCCTCCGTCCGAACCCCAGACCCTGGAAGCTGCCTCCCTACTTCCACTCTGCTCCTGGAACCCCGAGCTGTCATCCAAAAATCGCTATCCGGACTCTGCGTTTGGATATTTTTACGGATCTTCATCGAAACGTGCCGCGTTGAGGAATAGGTGGATGCTCACAAAAGGATTATAATTTTTTTTGTTTTGGACTTTTTGATTCGTCTGTGCCTAATTGCAACTGCTTTGGATCGCAGCACGTCTTGTAAATTAACTTGGGATCATCTTTTTTTTTTCTTAAAATTTGCGATTTACAATGTTATAAGTGAATCATTTTTATTTTTGAGCGTCTTTTTATTGTCCAAATGACGTGAATTATCCAAAACTAAACAAAATGCAATATTTAGAGGTATTTTTTTGATAGTAAAAGTTTCTAAGCAGGTTTTTATGAACTTTTTATGTTTAAATTTCACCCCAAAACAAAAAAAATCTGTAATGCAAAACTTACAGCTGATGTGACAGTTCAATTTATGCTTCAATTTTGTACGCAAGAACATTTTTAGTGATTTTTTTACAGTAGTTTTGAGACTTTTTATCGTTCTCTGGACTTAAGTGGACTTACCATGGACCACTCGCTGTTTGGTTGCCTCCGTAGCCCCCACGCTCCGTCACAAGGCCTGCACCCGTACCTGGACCTGCCCAGCCCCTCTCCTCCCTGCGGCTTCCCCGGAGGAGGGGAGGACACCGGGACCTTCGGCGCTCACCAGGTCCCCCTGTCCCAGCACCAGGGTCCCTCGGGGTGGCCCCCTCCCCCGTCGCACGTCCAGTCTCCCACGGCCCAGCACGGGGTGAGCCTGCCGGAGAACAGCCCGGAACAGTGCTCCGGGGCGGGGGGCACTCCGCGCGGCGCTGACCCCACGCGGGGGTCAAGTGCGCCGGGCGAGTTCGGACACGCTCTGCCCACCGAGGAGGCGGAGAGGAGGAGGAGCAAAGCCAAGAGCGAAGGGGCAGGTAAAAGTGAATCATTTTGGATAGAAATCTTAAAAAACACATCACACAGCGTCAATTTTTTGGGTTAAACTAGTGGCTGTCTGTGTAGCACTTGTGGTCGGATAAAAAGAGGCTTCAGAGAGTGTGTATTTACATTCCATTTAATGCCGTATGCACTGAAACACAAGAGACACATTTATGATCAGGCTATTCATGTCAAGGCACACTTTACAATTAGGACCACGCGAGGTTTTAACCCCCATCTGAGTTCTTTAAAAAAACACTTTTAAATATGTCAATATGTTTTAATTTGCAGATATAGTATTATTATTCAAAGTTTTTCTATAGAATTCAATTTCTTTATTAATAAAATATAAATTTTCATAAGTGGATCAATATTCTATGGGGGGTCAACACACCATAATAGGATTCTGACCCCGGGGTCACCTCACCGCGAGGTCAAAATCCTACACCAAACCGTCTGTAATTAAGTCATTTCTACATTTCTCAAAGAATTATTATGAATTTTTTTTTTTTCTTATTTTATGGAGATTGATGTAAATACTTTCATGACTTATTATAAAGTAAGTTTTATCTCTACATTTTTACATAGAGCTGAGACTAATACACACTACACATAATGATTTATCTTATTAAAGGGCCTGTGTCTGATTTCAAACCATGATCCACGCCCACTTAGTCCTGTCTGCCTCTGATATTTTGAGACAGTGTTTTTTGTGGTAGTTCTCCAATCTCTGCTGTTTACTCATGACACCAATGCACCAAGACAGAAGATCATGTGTCTGGGATAGTGTCAGGTTGATTTCCCGTAAGTTTTAGCACTTAAGTTGATTAAAAAGATGAACACAGTTTAGACAATTTAGGTCAAATCGTCTGCGTCATGACACAAAGAATCTGCGTCGACGTGAATCCCCTTCATACACATAGACCGTACATATGAATGGACATATAGCTTAGCCCCCTAGTGTTTTTGGCGGTGAATTACTTTGTGGTGCATAGACGTCGATGCAGATCCATAAATCAAAAACAACGCCAAGAAAGTGACAGTCCACACAGAACTATACTTCGCCTTCAGACAGAGGAAACTTTTGTCTCTTCCACAGGATCTGCTGACCCTCCCTGACCAGTCCTCCTGATAAACTGTCCTGAGACACAAAGGCCACCGAGTTTTGCTGCAGTGGAAATGTTGCTGCAGCAAAACTTGAATTTCCGTCGAGATCAATAAAGTATCTAAAACAGATAAAACTCTCCAGGGTGTCCCCAGGTTTGACTACCCCAAATTTAAGACGCTTTTAAGACCTTTTTAAGACCGCTTAAATGAAAATTAAGACCAACGTCGCACCCATTACGCGAGCAAAAAACACCAGATCCAATTCTAATAATGACCAACCAACTACCGGTGCTTTAACTAGAAACTAAGAGCCACTCTGGATTAAACCTGCACTTCCTCATGATCCATCCAACGTCTTCCTCCACCTACTGACTGTTTACTCACTGCTGCCGGCGCCACAAACCAAAGTACTGTTTGCGGATACTCCAAATTAGACGTTCACGCACGTTATTTGATTTCACGTTGTTGTTTTTTTTCTCCCTCCCTCCATTTAACATTTAACAGCCCGGTTGAGATTACAAAAAAATAGACTAATAAAATTAAAGACCTTTGTGAGAAAAATAAGACTTGGACGACATAATTTAAGACTTTTTAAGGCCTTAATTTAGGAACATGAAATTTAAGACATTTTCAAGACTTTTAAGACCCCACAGTTACTCTGCTCTCAGACAGGAAACAGTTTGATTGTAAGATTGTAAGATTTTAAATCTCATAAGATTCTCCTTGTGTATGTGGCACTTTTTGACTCAGAAATCCTGCAGTGTGTGGGCGTCTTAAAGTGAATAGATTATATTTAGGCCTGTCATGATAATTACTATATCAATTTATAGTTCAAAAGCTGGAATAATGTTTTGGAGCTCAATATTTATCATGTGTACAGTTTCTTTGCACTAGTGGATAGGACTGGGTATCATTCAGAAGTTGCCGATACGATACATATCTCGATACAGTGAGCTTACGATTCGATACGATATATTTCAGATCAATTCAGTACAGTTTAATATAAAAAAAATAAAGGCTAAATCATGTCTGTGACACTAAAAGTCTTTGTTAAACCACTTCTTGTGCAAAGTTCATATGAAACACAAACATTTTTATCCTCAAAACAGTGAAAATGTCAAATGTGTCGCTTAAACGAGGTTAAAACAAGCAACAAAACTGTAGCTGTAACAAAATAATTTAGTAAAATATACTCAAAACATACTCTTGGCGATGTATCGATACAGCAGCCCATGATACCAATACTGTATTTTACTATTTTTGCACACCCCTACTAGTCGGTAGATTTTCGCCATTTTACGTAATACCTTAAGATTTGAGCTGTAGAAGTCTGAATAAATAACTTCTATGTTTAAATATTGGTTTATTCTGATATTTATTTTTTGTAGCTCAAACTTTTTAATGATTCTGTGCATTTAAAACTACTTTTCTGTCTTGTGTAAGCGGCACAGTTTCAATAGTATCGTTAATCGTAATATTTCTCTATAGCGATATATTGTGTCTCAAAATTTCACTTTTTTTTAAACAAATCTACTTTTTTTCTTATTTAAAACAATAAATTAAAGTCAGGTCTAGGCCTTTTCATTAAATTTTTGTGTTACGTTGGTTTATATGGAGATTTTAAGCGGTAAAAGTTTTCGCAGAGGTCACGACCCTGACACATTTTTTGACTCTGACTGAACCGGCTCCAGGGGAAACTGTGAGCGCTGAAATCGGGTTCGCTCGCTCTCATCACACGCTGGCTTCGTAAAACTCGGTCTCCTGGCATCTCTGACATCTCCACTCCTGACCCGCGAGCTTTCTATGAACAGGAAAATCATATCTGCCGGAGAACCGCAAAAAGCACTAAGACTTTCCGTACATCTTTTGTGACTGACACGCTCGACGCTCAGTTCAGTTTCAATCTCAAACCTTTTTGCTTTTTCACACTTTTACTGCTCCGAGTCTGTGATCGTCATAAAGAACGGTCCAATCGTGACGGAATACGCTATAAAAATACATTTATTACGCTCCGCTGGATTTACAGTGTCGGATATTTGGCTCTGATGTTGGATTACCTGATTTGTGTGTTTGTAAAATGTCAGTCTGATGATCAGGACGTGGATGTTTGCATGCTAGTTGTCACTTTCTCCTAGTATTTAATTATTCACCATGAGGAGTTTAAGGGCTTTTTACAACAAAAGTGGTCTTCTCACAGTAAAACTAACAACAACAAGCATTACTGCCTGTTTTGCGGATGATAAAATCACTTTATAATAAGATGCAGACGGTGTGCAGACTTTATAAACACTGAGGAGCTCTTTCTGGATTACCACCAGATGATGTCACAAGTGGAATTAAGACATTTTATCTGAGGAGAGGAAGGTAGACGAAATATGCAAGATTTGATCCACTAAAACAAACAAAACCTCCAAAAAGATTAGAAGTTAAAGCTGCATAACTCCGTCCAATGCTTTTCTCCATGATAATGTTATTGCTCTGGTCCTAGTCTGGTCCTGGTCTCAGTCTAGGTCTCGGTCTCGGTCCCGGTCCCGTTACAGTCAGGTCCCAGACCTGGTGTAGTCCTGTGAAGTCCTGTGTAAGTCTTGGTTCAGTCCCAGTCTCACTCCTGGTTCAGTCCCAGTCCTGATTCAGTCCCAGTCTCAGTCTCGGTCTGGTGCCGGTTCTCAGTCCCGGTTCTCAGTCCCGGTCTGGTTGCGGTTTGGTCCCAGACCTGGTGTAGACCTGTGTAGTCCTGTTTTAGGCCTGGTTCAGTCCCGGTCTTGGTCTCGGTCCCGGTCTCGGCCTCAGTCCCGGTCTGGTTACGGTTTGGTCCCAGACCTGGTGTAGTCCTGGTGTAGTCCTGGTGTAGTCCTGGTGTAGTCCTGGTGTAGTCCTGGTTCAGTCCTGGTTCAGTCCTGGTTCAGTCCCAGTCTTAGTCCTGGTTCAGTCCCGGTCTTAGACCTGGACCTGGTGTAGTCCTGTTTTAGTCCTTGTTCAGTCCTTGTTCAGTCTGGCGTCACAGTTTAAGTCACATAAACGGTTGTTATCCATTTTTTTTCCATTTTTCATTTAAACACAAAATCAAAAACTGAAAAAAATGAACCATTATCTGTTTTTTCATTTTGGTTTTGGAGACAAATAATGAAGAAAATAGTTGGTTTTTTTTTGTTTTCTTATTTTTGGTTTTATTTTGAAAAACGATTGAACGAATGACACACAGACTCTTAATAACCCGTTTATTGTTTTGGTCGTGTTTGGTTCAACAATGGTTTATTCAAGTGTATTTTTTTTATCAAAACCTAACTATAAGTGAGACTACATTAGACTATTCTTATGTGAACAAGTCTTTTACTTTTATTTAGACCTATTGTTTTTGGTCGTCTTGCAGTTCCTGTGTTAAATTTTCTTCAGAAAGTAAAGTTCATTGATCTTTGAAAGAGTGCATTTGCATTTGTATTCCATCATCGTTACATTCGTTGAAAATGGTCTCAAAATGTCAATAATATCGTTTATCGTGATAAATTCTTGGTCGATTAATCGTTACAGGCCTACCCCACACTTTTCTAGGTATTTTTGAGCTTTAAAACCACCTGTAATTCAATAAATCTAAGGCAGAGCTGCTTCATGTCGCAGTGTGGAACATTCCAGGCAGAGCAATGACGCATCCATAGAAACAAACCAAAAAAGTTACAGAGCGAAGCGCACCTTTAAGAATAACTTTAAGACTCTGAAACGTGCGGTGGTTTTCACACAGTCAGCCTCGCGCGCTCATTTTTCCTGGCCTCCGCGGAACGTCTCCAGAGCCAAACTCATGAATCTTGGACTGATTTATATGTTGACGTACAAAATATCATTAGATGCTTGACGTTGCTGCAGAGCTTTCCCTTTCGCCATTAACTGACCACAA